AACTCCGTCTTCCGCTCTTGAAATTGTGTGCGGTAAAGGAAAGAGGGAGGGGGCAGGCCGAATGCTCCTTTTCACCCGCGGACAAAAACGAGCCTGTGATCGACTGCAATTGATTTCTAACAACCGGGGTTCGACCTGTCGATCGCAGTCGACCTGTTGGACATTCCTGGTATAGGTCCATTTCCACAACACAACATGTCCAACAATTGTCTGAACAGACAAGCCTAGGGTACCAAAGCGAGCCACCACCGAATGCACTCCAAATAGCATTTTTTTGCTGGATTCACCTGAGCCTAAGATCCAAGAAGGAAGTCTTTGGTGCTGACAACACAGCCTGCAATTGCACTGGTTATATGGGAGAAGGGTTCATACATTCCATTAATGGAATGGGCTTCACACAGTCCCTAACAAATGCATAGTGAATGTGTGAGCTTTTCTATAGATCTCAGTAGTTCTTTTGGGGGGGACGACTGCTGTGTTAGATGTAGCCACAATGCTATGGCACAACTATATGTATTATCACACTGTACTAAGCAACTGTTTACCAACCCAGTTCTTCAAGTAAACCATTTTACTTTCAATTTTTATATACATGCTCTCCTCCCATGAGGTTGAATCAGCATGAACCAATATAATTTTGGAAGCTAGCAGTGGCTAGAACAAACTTGGTACAGTTTTTAAGATATACTCTAAGATTCCAGCAGCTTCAGGGTTGACAATTCCCACCGGATCCACAATAGGCCACATTCAGGGAATGACTGTTTCCACCACCAGGCTCAGCCTCTCTCTGACTTGACAATGCAATCAATGTTTCTGTATTGCCAAGACCAACTGGTTACAGCTGGGAAAGTGCACAAATATCACATACCTGATATTTATTCAAGTTATCCTCAGAAATTTGATTCTAGTCTGCATGGATCTGATCACTTTGAGTCAGTTGTTGTGAACAGAATACTTCCTGATAACACCACTGATAGCAAACTAATAAATTCTCACCTGCCGTAGGAACAGCATAGTAGCCCCTTTTTCTGAGCTCTAATTAAAACAATCAACATCCAGTAACTGGATTTATGCTCAAGGTTTCAATTTAAAATTACTTTACAGGGTAATCCTCACATAACTATAGGCCACAGACCACTTCTGTGGCAATCATGGTCACTCTGGAAATTGTCTTTACCTACCAGTTAGTATCAGATACCAAATATTTACAATCATTCTGGGAACTGCATAACAAATTAAATTTGTTCCAACCAGAAATGTTTACTACTTAAAAGCAATGCTGTAATAAAATCTGATCCAAATCCACTCACCAAATTGTGTAAGCCAATAGGCTGTATCCAGTTAAGTAACACTAAGAGTAGACCCATTGAAATAAGTGGATTTTAGTCATGATGAACTTTAATCCACTAATTTCTATGGATCTCCTCTGACTTAGCCAGAAACAACCCCATGTCTTGATACGTGTCTATCTACATAGATCTAGAGCTGCATCCACCACTGGATAACATCTTCTGGAAACAGAATGTTGAAATAGATCCTCCAATTCAACCTCTGTTAATAGCAATTCACTCTACATTCTTTGGACTGCTGTCTCCAATCTTATGCAACATAAAATCTTACTATCCGTACACTTTATGCCAGATAGATTATTTGATTAGGAAACTCCACAAGGAGCTGGGGGACAAAATACATGGGGCAGGATGTACAAAACTTATGAGATTTTGTCCAGCTCTTCTCTACCCCACCATTCTCCTCCCTGCATTAGGGAAGGAAGTAATAATATTCAGAGTAAATGTGATACTGAAAGCATTTTATGCTGCAGACATTAGTAAACTTTGCTCCTTGGCACAGGTAGTGTTTTCTGGTTAACTGAACAGGTCCTAGCAGGCAGTAGAACCTACAAAAAAAGTGCTTCAGAAGAATATTAAATGGCTTAGGCATTTCTCAGACAACGGCATGCTGCTATCATTTCTAGAACCTTGTAGAGATTTTTATTTGGACTTCAATGCATCAAATTCCTCCCAACTTTAAAAAGTGTTCAGCCACTCTGTTCAGCCAATATTTCTTCCTCAGTTTCTTTTGAAGGGAAACGACTTAGCTGCTTGGTAATGCTGCTTCAGTCTTCATGAAGTAGGCAAGATGCATCCTGAACTTAAAAATAGAAATGGCGTCTCCACATGCAGACCCACACAAGATATAGCCAAAATTAATGCCTGGTAATTGCACTTTCCGCAGGCCTGGAACCCAAAAGTACAAGTGGTTTTTATTTTAGTTCTCCAGTTTGAAGGATAAATAAGCATGACTAAATGGTAACAAAAATGAGTGTCTTCTGAACAAAAACAGACCATATATACCACAGGAGTTGTTTTACTGGATGTTTTTGAAGCTCTTGTGGAATGATGGCATCAAAAAAACCACCAAGGAAATTCTGTCCTGGGACACATTGCTCCACGCTCCATATTTGGTTAGCCAAGTGAAAATTAATTAATACACCCAGTTTGAACCCCAAAGAGACTGAAATTAGTTGCAGGTGAAATACTTCTCTAAGGCCTAGAAAACACACTTGGTGGTCCAGGATGAGGATATCTGCATAACTTAGTTTCCAATATTTTTGGAAAGCAGACCTCTGCTTTCCCAAGTTCATCACCAGGCCTCCCACCCTTAGCTGCGTTGGAATCCCCAACTGTGCCTTTTCAACAGGACTCACAAACAAAGCATCATCCCATATCCACCACTCTTTGGACAAAGACAGTCTCAAGGAAGCAATGAGAATCCCATTCTTACACAAGAAGCTATATGTCAGATTGCACCTTAGTAGAAGAGAAGAGTTTGGATTTGACATTCTGCTTTATCACTACCCGAAGGAGTCTCAAAGTGGCTAACATTCTCCTTTCCCTTCCTCCCCCACAACAAACACTCTGTGAGGTGAGTGGGGCTGAGAGACTTCAGAGAAGTGTGACTAGCCCAAGGTCACCCAGCAGCTGCATGTGGAGGAGCGGAGACGCGAACCCGGTTCCCCAGATTACAAGACTACCGCTCTTAACCACTACACCACACTGGCTAGTACTTTGATTATAAATTTTGTACAATATAAGAGGATGGCTTGGCTAAATACCATACCAATGCCTCCATTAGCAGCTTCTTCTGGGCATAGCTAATAAGGTATAAATCACTGCTCCCCAAAGGATATTTGGTTACAAATCTTAACATTATCTATGTCCACTGGTCATCAATTGTCTATATGGAACCCTAAAAATGGAGCCTCTGGTAGAACTTATTTATTTATTTATATATATACACCACCTTTATCTTCCAAGGAGCTCAATATGGTATACATGTTTCTCCTCTTCCCCATTTCACCCTCACAACAATCCTGTGAGGTAGGCTAGGCTAAGAGATGGTGACTGGTCCAAGGAGACCCAGTGAGCTCCATGACTGAGAAGAGATTTGAACCCTGGTCTTAGCAATGCCCAGAGTAAACAGATACTTCAAGAGCAGCTGGTATCTGATTTCTCACTTCAGCAACTGAAACAATGACACAAAAAATTCTACTGTAGTACCAGAGGGAGGAAACAGTATTTAGAAGAGGTTTTTTTAGTCTCCACACCCATGTTGTGACACTGGAATTATAAAGATGTGGTGCCCACAGATATATCACCACACCCAACAAACAGTTGTAACTATTTGTCAAATGGCTACAAACATGGGTCTGACCAAACTGCGGGAGGCAGTGGAAGACAGGAGTGCCTGGCGTGCTCTGGTCCATCGGGTCACGAAGAGTTGGACACGACTAAACGACTAAACAACAACAAGTCACCAAAGTCCACCTCCCATTGCTAAGCTCTTATTTCCTTTCTCTCCAAGTTATCAACTGTTCAATGTACAAACACAATTTCTGGCAAAGCAAATGAAGAAATATCTTCTAAGAAGAGTTCTACGTTTGGCCTTGGCCTCTTTTTTTCAGACCTTCATCTTTGAAAAAACCCTTTTTGTTCATTATTAAGAGTTCATTACCTCAAAGCTACTTGTTGTAAAGTATGCTTTGGGTTGCCCTCAGCAAGATATAGTGACTAATAAATTTAAATAATAATAACATGCAAGAAAGAAGACAATAAGACTCTCCCAGCATAATGTTTTCAAGTCTATGACCTATGTGGTATCACATGGAAAAAGATTTTCTGATGCTGCTTTAACAGATGAAAGCTGCCATTTTCCTATTGATCAGACATTACTGAACTGCAATTCCAACTATCCTGTAGATTTAATGGACCATCTATGCTCTCATTTTCCTCATGACCATAAAACTGCCTAGCATGTCACCCATATATTTTGTCTTGGGCAAATACAAAAAGAGAATTCCTATACACATTTTTAATACTACAAACAGAATAGCACTTTCTTCCGCTCCACTCAGCTATGTGGATTCTTCTCCTCCACATCCATTACAGTCACTGCCATATTGGATTTCAGTCCCAACACACTAACAAGCCACACTGGAATTTTAAGACGTCTGCTTGGTATAATTATCCATAACAGCCAGCAAAGGGAGCAGCATAATAAGCATGCCTCATCTAAGTCTATATTACTGGCTTGGCATTTGATGGCAGGAAGTCAAACCGGTTTTTTTTTTTCTTGAACTGGAGTTGAACCTGAATCACAGCTGTATCCTCCCAACTGAACCTGAATCAAAACCAAAGACCTGGCTCAGTTCCCTATTTTAAAATTAAAACTAGTGCAACATCCTACATTTGGGGCTGCATAGACACATTAGGTTTTACCTACCTGAATCACACTCAGAGTAAACCCACTAAAAGTAATGGACCTAAATCAGTCATGTCCATTAATTTCAGTGGATCTAAGTATGAGTTTGATATAATCCATATGGCCCCCCCACCATACAAAGCATCCCTATCCAGTTGAAGTGTATGCAGTGAGATTCGTTCCAAACCCTCTAAAAAGAAAGACAAACTGTCCAAGAGGCATTAGAAGAACACACTTACCCATCTCTACCTTTACTGACTATCTTCACTTCAAAGTAATAAATACCACAGGCCGCAGGGATAGGATGGGTAGCCCTGACTGAAGCAGCATCCTTGTGATTTTTTCCATGTCCTGCAAAAAAACCCAATAACATATATAGGAAAGGGGGAAAGGGGTGAGTGAGGCCCTTTCACTCCTCAGTGACAGCTGTCAGACTAGAACACAGACTTTAAAAGAGCCATAATCATTCTAAACAGAAACCCTTAAGATGATGCTTCGTTGACAAAGCAGTGGGCCCCTGCACTGCACCACGGGGAAAAGGAGGAGGAAACAGCATGCATGGTTCTGTCTCTTCCTTTGCCAGTTCTCATGAAAAAGAAAAGAAATATAGGCACCAGGGCCCTATTTGGGGGCAAACAGATCAGCACTCTAAATTCCAGGGAAGGCACAAAGGAATGATTTTCTGCCATGATCATGTAAACAATAATCTGGCTGTCTGCTGTTGGGAAAGGCTCGTGCCAACCCCACACAGCTATCAGGACAGGGAGGAAATCCCCTTCTGCCTGCTTCACAGGAACTGCGCTGACCCCTGGAGAGATCCCATCGCTGGCAGCGCAACAGGCAAGTTCAATTAAGTCAGGTCGAGCCAAGCCCCAAACCCACCCGCGCTCCGGATCCTCAAAATAGCGCCCCAGGAGAACTGCCCTTTGGCAGGGTCTTCCATGGATCAGTTCCCCCCGATACCCCTCAGATGCGACAAGGGCCCGTTGCCACCTTACTCCCCTCCTGAAACCCTCCTGCCGATCCTCAACGCCTTCTCCCCGAAGCGTTTTTCCACCCAGTCACCATCTTCGCCTCTCTCTCCTTCACACCCACCGCTCATCACCTTCAGAGGGTGACCCCCCAACAGCCCCAGGCCTTCGCCCCAAGCGCCCCCGCCCAGAATCTTCTCCCCCCTCAGCGCGTCTCCCCCCGCCGCCTTCCCCACCCCCTACCTTTGTAGTGGACGCGCAGGTTGCCCTGGGAGAGGCCGATGTAGTTGTACTTGTCCTTGGGGCTCCAGGCGCGCGGCAGCGGCGTCTCGGCCTGGTTTACAGCCGGGTAGAGACGTCGGAGCCGCTGGCTCAGCTCCTGCTCCTCTGGGGGAGGCGGCGGCGGCGGCGGCGGCAGCACCGATTCTCCCCCAGGTGAGCTCGCTGCACCCGCGTCCGCCATCTTGGATACACTATTGTGTCAGAAGGAGGGGAGCGGGACCTGTTTCCCTGGCTGTCCAATGGGACGCGGGCTCGGCCACAATGGAGCCGAAGGGCGCGATGGGAAATCGAGTCCGAGCTCCACCTCTGGACTTGGTCAAACCAGGTGGTGAGTGACTACAAGTTCCGAGGAACACTGCACAGGAGGGCCCGCCCACTCCTGGCACCGCAGAGGCCGCCGGGATAATGAGTATAGTAAGGACTCCGCGGGACAGTCCAGGAGATTTCTCACCTTTCAGAACTATTAAGCCGGGCGGGGCGGGAGGGGAGGGGGGGAGCCCCATACAGTAAACATGCCCGGAGTTGGGCAAGACGGCTGGAGTCCTGTGCATGCTTAACGTAAGCGCCAGTGAGTAAAGCGAGATTCACTTCTGAATTAAAATGCATAGGATCACCCAGGCCAGCTATAAACTAGTGGTAGAAAAGGGAGATGGACGGACAGATAGATTGGTACTTCTACCCGGTGACGGCAATTACACAAATACGCAACGTACACCGTGTCACGCATGCATCTCGTTAAGAAAAGTGACATCAGCCTCACCACTGTCCCAAAGCACAGCTCGCTTTTTATATAAGGGACTAGTTTCAGACACACAGGATCGAGCCCTTCACGCGCTGGAAAGCGGCGTTTAGAGAAGCAAAAATAAAATAAACGGTGTGCGTGTGTTGGCGTGGGCGCGCGAGCTAAATAGGACGCGTCACGACTAGCTCTTTTATTTAACCTGTAGCATCTCCTGAACGGCTCACGAGACACGGCACGGCTAGCAAACTTTCCCTTATGCCTTCCCCCAGGACGAATGCACTCTATCAGCATCCTGGAGCCCAACGTCACTACCACCACCCGTCGGACTAAGCCAGCCACCCGCGTTATATAGCCGGGCACAGGCTTGAAATCCTCTGGGAAAGCAGCTTTCGGGTCGTGCGTTATCCTCTCAAGCGCCTCTGGAGGGCGCTGCGGCCTCAGTCTAGACAGCAGGTGGCGGTGGTTGCCATGGCGACCGAGTGTAAACATCCTCTGCAGGCGCCGTTCCTCTACCCTCCTCGCAGCCATGAAGAGTAGCGCCTCGACCTTTTTCCCGTGAGTCCGTCAGGAAGGAGACGGGTTGGAGGGGGAAAGGCCGGGAAAGGCCATTCTGGAAATATATCCTTAATCCCAGAGAGGTGGGGATCACCTCCGCTTGCTCCAAGAAAAGGCACTTCGCACATGAGGCGAGGCATGTTCTTTCTGCCGGTTTCTTTGGCGAGCTTAGCAACATACTGTACGTACTTGGAAGCTGCTTTCAAGCAGGTCAGCCTGTTCGTCTACCAAACCAGCGTTCCCCAACCTGGTGCTCTCCGGGTGGTTTGGACTACAGCGTGTGCTGGCAGGGGCTGCTGGGAGTTGTAGACCAAAACATATGGAGGACCCTAGTATCTTGAAGGTTGTACTGGCCCAGTGCTTTCTGCTCTGACTGGCACTGGCTCTCCAGGGTCTAAGACAAAGTTCTCCCTGGTGAGGATGAAGGAGAAATCTGATTCAGTTTGCATTTAAAGGCAAAGCTACCTAATTCACACTTTCCAATACAGTATGTAAACCAGCATCTCATAGGGTAAGTGCAGAGACTTTTCACCAGGTACAGTTCAGCCCTGATCATTTTAATCAACATTAGATGTAAACCATGGGTAGGCAAACTAAGGCATGGGGGCTGGATCTGTCCCAATTGCCTTCTAAATCCGGCCCACGGATGGTCTGGGAATCAGCGTGTTTTTACATGAGTAGAATGTGTCCTTTTATTTAAAATGCATCTCTGGGTTATTTGTGGGGCCTGTCTGGTGTTTTTACATGAGTAGAATGTGTCCTTTTATTTAAAATGCATCTTTGGGTTATTTGTGGGGCATAGAAATTCGTTCTCCCCCCCCCCCAAAAAAAGTCCGGTCCCCCACAAGGTCTGAGGGACAGTGGACCGGCCCCCTGCTGGAAAAGTTTGCTGACCCGTGAATGATATTACTCATATGCTGTACAATATGGAGATTATTATATGTTTTTCGGTGTGGAGGCAAACCTTCTAGTTTACAATATACTTCCCAAGACATTTGGCAAAGGATGAGATAGTGCCCCTCCATTTGAAGTCAGGTGGACTGGTAGTTGTGTATTACTTCAACACTAGTGATAGGACAACATCCTCCATCACACATGAGTGTAGGAGACTAACAGCTCAGCACTCTAAGACCTTACCACCACACCCTGCTCCCCAATATTTGCTGCCCGAGTCAAGTACCTCAATCTAATTAATGGTAGGACTAGCTCTGGTGACCTTTAGTGTCTGAGTGTTTTAGGCAGTTGGGCAAATTTATATGTACGGACAAAGTTTCCTGCTTTTGACTGTTGTCATTCTTGGAATACGGTGGCAAAGACACTTTTGCTGATTAAATAACTAGGCTTTGGTAGGATTCAGCAGCATCTTGTAGTCATACAATAATGTTTTTTCTCTTTTTATTTCAGGGTCAGTAGTCAGGACACTGATAAAAGGTATTGCAATAAAATAGAAGAGTTAATTACTTAAATTAGCTTTGTGGTTACAGTAAGAACTTTGGCTTTGACAGTTCTTACTACAGGTTTCCCACCTTTTTGGTCTTGAGGACTACATTCACTGGCAGCTAGTAGGCTGCACACACATGTACCATATCCGTTCTCTCATGCACCCTCACGCAGGCAGGCAGGCAGGGGCTTGGAGTAGGTAGGAGGCACCCCATAACTGCTCGCTACCTAGCTACTTCCTCCATAGTTCCCATCACCATTTGAGCACCAGGAAAGGAGGAGTCACACACTGGACAGAGATATCTGCCCATCACCTCATAACTTTTCACTGCCCAGCAGATGTGCTGGCAAATGTGCTCTCTTCAGCCTGCGAAGCTGAACTGTTTCAGGGAGCTTTGGAAGACACGCATACAAATGCTTCAAATGTGGGGCAGATGGGTTGGATTGAAATGGCCTTGTGGGCCAAATGAGGAGGCTTGCAGGCCTGATTACAGTGGAAGCTCGGGTTGCGAATGTGATCCATGTGGGAGGCACGTTCGCAACCTGCAGCGTTTGCAACCCACAGCGCCATGTCTGCGCATGCTCGGGTTGTGATTTGACGTTTATGTGCAAAGTGTGATTTAGTGGTTCTGCACATGCGTGAGCGCCAAAACCTGGAAGTAACCTTTTTCCGGTACTTCTGGGTTCGGCATGGTGCGCAACCTGAAAGCGTGCAACCTGAAGCATCTGTAACCCGAGGTATGACTGTATATCCTTTAAATGTGTGCTGTGTACACAGCCTTATGGAGCAATCCTATATTTGAGCTACACTGGCTGATGGACCATAGGATTTGGTGAAAACCCAGCTACATTGGTGGATTCAAGATATGTCTGTGGCATGAAAAATACACCATGGGAACATTCCAGATACATCAGTGGAACACTATCTCTCTTTGCTGGTAGAATGGCTCTGTCATAGAGTATTTTACTGGCATATCTGTTCCAATAGCATATCTGCGTTGGAATCATTGAATCTGATGTTCCATCTGCAAAGCAGGGCTTCTGCCGCATCCTATAGACCCTCAAATAGCATGCATGCCCTTAATATCCTTAATATCCTGGTTAGTAAACTAACTGCCATGAAATCAAAATTCCCAGTTTTGGATACAATAGGGAATTCTGCTTTAAACATACCAGGATCTGTGTGCCAAAGCTTTTGTGCAATAGGAGGAAGAGAGGAGTACATGAGCCCAGTGCCTGCTTGTGGCTTCATTAAAAAAATAAGTGAAATACAGTAAGGAGGCCCTGGATTGAGAGAAATGACATTGCTCATTCTCATTATGATGTGAGTTCCTCCACAGAACTGCAATTTCCCCTTCTTGCCAATTATCCAGGGTCTCAGTCCTGAAACGCACTCAGAATCTAAACTGTCAAGAAAAATTACCTGATCTGAAGGAATCATTTCAGAAGAAAAGAAAATCTCTGGTGAGTTTGAGCAGATCAGGCATGACAATGCTCACCCCTTGCTAATTTGTAAGTTGCTTTAGGTCACTATTGTATGGAAAGTGACAATTAAATATAACAACAACAGGGGCGGTGCCAGGCCTTCTGATCTTAGCAGTCTGCTAACTACTTCAGCTATCCTAGGGCTGCCACATGGCTACAGCTCTAGGCAAGAAGGATGCTCTGATGCCCTCCCTTTGTAAAGTAAGAAAAGCAAGAGTCTGTTTCACCCTGAGCAAGAGGGGCCCGAGAGCTAAGGAAAGGACTAACAGTACTAACAGTACTATTCTGATAAGGCTTATTCCTAGGCAGTTATTTTTTCTGGGGGTACGCAGGGGTAAGCATACCCCTAAACATTTTGTGAATCAAAGTTTGGCCTCATTGAGGGGCAGTATTTCAATATGATTAGGAAAATGAGAGTACCCCTAAACATTTTTTTAATGGAAAAAAAAAGCACTGTTCCTAAGTAAGTGGAGTAAGGAGTAAGGATTACATCCTAAGTCTTGGATTTATTCTCTTCCCTTGTTGGGTGACTGGTTGTTGTTAAAGGAGCTGAACCATTCTTATGCTGAATGCCTGAAGTACAGGTGTGATCATGTTTACAATAAAGGACATGCGTTTCAGTTCATATTAGCTGATGTCACTGGTTGGTGGCTGAAACCACTATTATGTTGGGAGGTCTGAAACGCACACCAATGGGTAGGATCCTGCTTGAAGGTCTGATTTGCCACTGCCCATAATCATAATCTATCACTTTTCAGAGCCACTCTAGCAGTCAGTTGTCTTCATGGCCTGCATACGCACCAGGACACATCATCTTGCAGAATCGAAAACCATGTACTACCTCTGAATGGCAAAGGTATGTAGGATAAATGTTGTACATTAAATGTGAAGTTTTCTGGGCTTCTCTGCATTGTAAACTGATATTGTATTTTTGCCAACCGTCATGGTTTCCAGCATAGAATCTAGGAACTGTAGTCTGGTAAA